ATAATATATTATTTATATATATTAATATTATGGATGTCAAACTGACTCGACGTTCATGAACAACTCATGTTCGGCTCGTTCGTTAAGAAACGAGCACGAACAGTGACTTCACGAATAATTTCGAACACGAACTTATTTCAAACCAACTAAATTTCAAACAAACCGAACACAAACACAATATCTGTTCGTTCATGTTCGGTTCGTTTACACCCCTATCCGTGATGGTGTTGATATAGTTCCCGTGACAAACAAAATTAGAGATAGTCGTCTTAGATGGTTTGGTCACACTAAATGTTGACCATCTGATCATCCGATTAAGAGAATAGATGTTTTAGAATCGACTTATGTTATGAAAGGCAGAGGTAGACCAAGGAAAACTGGGGCTTATTGTATAAAAAAATGATCATAATTTATTAGAATTGAATGAAAGTATGACACTAAATAGGACGCAATGGAGAAAAATAATTCATGTAGCCGACCCCACGTAGTGGGATTAAAATAATTCATGTAGCCGACCCCACGTACTGGGATTAAGGCTTTGTTGTTGTTGTTGTTGTGAAGATGTTTGGTTATTTTAAGATGCATAAAACTTAAAACTATAGAGTGAGAATTTATATTTTCAGTGCATCCACTGTCGGCTAATAGTTCTAATAGTTCTAGAGCTTTAACGTTGATTGTACAGCATGTATGAAAACTTATATGCTGTTGCCATTGTACCATCAGGAGCTTTTACAGGATGCATGTAATCCTCAGTAGTATAAGAAACGTGGGAGGCAATGGAGAAGATCCCCAGCTATACGGGAACAGATAGCAATAATGGAAACGAATATATAAAAGTAAAATATTATCTAAAGCAAATATATCTCGGCTGGGTAAAATAGAATAGGGTGTTGCAAGAATGTCCTCCATCAATGCTTTAGTAAATATTTTAAATCCAAATTTAGTAAGTCTCGTGCAGATTAAAATTTAGAAATTATTTGTCATGATGATTTTTAGATTTTGTTGATTTATTATGAACAGTTTCCTATTGGTTTCATGATTTTAGATTTGAGGGAGAGATTCTTAGATCCGTTAAATTTTGTGAATTGTGGGATTTAATAAATCATGGATTTAGCAAATCGTGAATGGCAGAATTTAAAGTCCCAAATATTTCATTGGCAGAATTTAAGCTAAATCTTGCTTGAATCCTGCCTAACATTGGATACCAAACAGCCCCAATAATGAAAGCTGGGATTTTGATTAATGATTTGGGTGGAAATTTGCAAAAATGAGATATTAGATGCCTTACATCTTGAGATAAACCTTGTGTTCTGTATTTATCATCCCAAAACATTGTACCAATGCGATATATTTGAGGAAGACTTAATGCCTGAAGCAAACGCAAAAGAATTTTGTCAGTTTTTGTAAGGATTTCAAAGATTGAAATGAATTTTCTAAGCTTTGTTTTTGACTTACTGGACATAGTTCATTTGTGATTTCTTCCAATGATTTGTGAGCCTTCTGATGCAAAACCTAAATATAGAGAAAGATTCATGCATATGATACAAAAACTAAAGCAAAAGTTAAGTGGAATCTGGATTTTGCTCTCACCAAAAACCCTACTGCCTGTTTTATGTGTTGGAGCTCGTCCAGTGAAGATCCTGCAAACTGTAAGAAAAGCAACAATTACAGAAAATTATGTGATTTTAAATAAAAGATTTGTGTGCCAAGGGATCTGTTCTGATTTAGCAGGCTGACAAACCTCTTGTGTGGCTTTGGAACACCACTCCTCTAATTCATTTAGACCAGCCTTCAAGAATTCACCATTACTGGACGAGCAGCATTCTCGACGAAGAAGCAAACTGTATGGAAGTTCAAGTTTATTTGGTGGCTTGGTTTTAGTTTTAATCTCACACGAAACGGAAAATGGTAAATTTTAATATGTACCTGTTAAAAAGCTGCACATTTATGAATGCAAACACTTGGCTGTATATTTTTTGTATTATGATGGAATGCACCTTTAAAAAACAAATGGACACAAATCAGCAAATTATCTTCTTTTCAGTTTTGCTAAGCACTGATAGCCAAATCATGGCTTACATAATTTTCATGCAGAATGGCTTGAAAATGATCCAAGCTCTTCATAATGCTTTGCCAATGTATACTTGATGCTTGTTTTGCCCCTACATTTGAATGAATACTCTTTGATGATACTCGCGTGGATCGAGTTCTTGCAGACCTTGGTGCCTGCATTTTTAATATTCAAATCACCTTTCTTCATATTTTTTGGTAAAAGATGTAATTTTGAATACTCCTATTGTTTTTTTGTATTTGTTTTCCTTTATATTTTTGGTAAAAGATGCAATTTTGAATATTCATATTGTTTTTCTTTATATTTTTTGGTAGAAGATCTACCTGAATGCACATTGTTAGAAATGGACTAATATCTTTCTTTAATCTGTCACGGATCTTTCCATATATTTTCTCTACATAGGCAGTGAGCTGTTGCTTGAACAAGAGGGCTGGGTATTTAGCATCTACTCGGGACTGCCCATCAGATTTGCAGGCCATTCCACTGTAGCCACTGGAAATCTCTAATTCTGGGGAAGACGAGCGGGTAATCTGTATGCATTTTACTTAGAGGATTATTAATTGGAATTATGGATTTTTTCATTGATTTCATTAAAATGATATATAACATCTCTCATATTTTTATCATATAAGGTTCTATGAAATTTTTCCATGATAAACAGATCTTACTCTTGCCATTCGGCCAAACAAGCTGACTGAACTGCTTTGTCTACGATTCGCTCCGGACTTTGATGCACTGCTTAATTTTAGGGTATTTTGTAGAAGAAATAGAAGAGTTGAGGTAGTTGAAAGCCAGTAAGCAAGTTCTCCAATGCTTTCCTGATTCTGTACACAATAAACAGTAAATTCAAACGTGACTGTGAGATTGATTTTATTTATGCATGTTAGTAATGTTAATCGAGAAAAGTGTTAAAATAGTCCCTTGATTCTTTGTAGGGTTACATTTTAGTCACAAAGTTTATAAGAGTATCAATTTAATCCCCAAACTCTTTTAATATTGGTTGAAATAGCCCTCACTAAGGAATACTTTAGCTCTCATAAAAAAGATTTTGGGGACTAATTCAACAATTTTATAAACTCTGGGACTAAAATGACCCATTGTAAATAGTCAGGGGACTGTTTTAACACTTTACTCAATATTAATCTATAAAGTCGAAAGATTCCTTGAGTGGTTCAATACCTCGACATTTGACCTTATTGTGTGGATAATCCGATCAAATATATTTGTTTTTTCTGCTTCAAATGAATGCCACTGGATCAGTGATTTATATACTATGTATGCCGCTGCTGATCTCTTCTTGTCAAATCTTTTGTCTTCCATTAGACACCTAATTAGTGCATCATGGTTTTCCTGTTGATAGGAACAAGAAAAGAGTTTATGGTTGATCTTGAGATTTAATAAATAGGGAAATTTACATACCTAGCACAAAATTCTTATGTATTTACATATCTCAGACCTGAACTTTCATATTTACATACATAGCACTTTGGTGCTTTAAACTTTTTCATGAAAATGTGTATTTCACTTTTAAAAACGTGGTAACAGTACTATTTTTTTATATGATATTAAAAATTTGAGTGCTATGTGTGTCAATATGAAATTATAGGTGTGAGATATGTAAGGAGATTAGAATTGTGTGCTATGTATGTAAATGCCCCTAATAAATATATTGACATTCTAATTTTATTTATGCTTTCATACCTGTTGCCTATCTGTCAATGACTTTTGTTTGCTTAAGGTAGTAGCAAGAGGGACCACTACTGGCACCTGTAAACAAAGCTAAATTCATGTCTTAATTTTCTTTTTGATTGATTTACCAATTATGTTATTCAAATAATTCTCAAGAACAAGTTCCATACATTTTCTATGATTGGTTCTTCTCTTGGTTCCTGATGACCATTCTCAAGAGTCTGAAACTTACAAGAAAATTATCACTTAAGAAAATGGGTAAAGAGACAAAACAGTTCCCTAACTATTTACATGGGGGCATTTTAATCCCAGAATCCATAAAATGTCAAATTAATTCCTAGACTCTTTTAATATGGGCTGAAATAGTCCCCAGAGAGGACTATTTGGGACTATTTAAGCCTCAATTAAAAAGTTTGGGGACTAAATGACACTTTTTATAAACTCTGGGACAAAAATGGACCCCTACAAAGAATAAGGCACCATTTTGATACTTTCACTTATCAAAAGTTAATGACAAGAAGAAGACTGTAATACCTGGGCAACTTGTGAATGTAATATTTCAACTGCAGATGTTGTTTGTACTACTTGTACAGGCCTACTTTGGAGTAGCCGGTTTTCCGACTCCAATTCTGCTATCTTGTTCTCAAGGCTGGGAAAAAGGTGACCAATTTAATCAATCTCCACCTTTATTTTTTAAACCACTAACGGTAAAGGCTTCCAAATCAAATAACAAATAGAATTGCAACATTTGCAAAATTATCAAATTTAAGAAACATTTTAACTTCATGTAATTTGTTGTTGTTGTTATTGTTGCATGTAATTTAATACCTTCTAATTTCCTCTGTCAGCTCCTCATTTTCAGAAGCAACCAGGGCCTGTTGCCTCAGAACATGGTTCTCAGATTCCAGACTGGATAGATTTGTTTCAAGCCTGCAGTAGTGTGAAGCAGATGAAAGGTGTGTATGCCATTACTGATATTTTGTTTATAAACATATAAAAATACGCATAGAATAGGTGAAAATCAGGAAATGATTGTTAATGATACCTCTCTATCATCTCTTGAAGCTGATATATTTTAATCTGGGATTCTTCAGTTTCTTTGATCAATGTTTCAGTCTGCTTCTGCACCTCACAGAATCTCTTTTCAAATTCCGCCGCCTTGATTTTGACTTCACTTAGCTCATCCTACAGAAAAATAAATGTCTCCATCATTTTAAAGCAAATTTGTGCTTGACACCAAAGGTCCTACACTTCTGTGGAAATCATAAATGATGGTGCTTTCTAAATTTTATTACCTCCAGTTCGTTGTTCCTATTTGTCAGAATCTCTAATTTTGCATTATCTATCACGGGAACCTCTTTAATTACTGGCGGAGCGTTTTCAATAGCTATTCTTGCTGCTTCTTTCTCCTTGATGATTGCCGTATTAGCTTCATCGAGTTTTTCTTGCATTTCTTGTAGAGAAAATTGCAGTTTTGCAATCTCCTGCCCTTTGGCTTCTTCTAAATCAACCTACAGTTAAAATTTAATTGGAAAATTTATTCTCTTTATCAAAGAAATTTGGCTAAAGAGGTTTCAACAATATGATATCACAATACCCTCAAATGCTTCTCAAAATCTAATCTCCATGTGAGCTCTTCCACTTTCTTCTCCAACTTATCCTTGGCTTCTTTTAATGCTCCAGTCTCTCTTGCCGCCTTCCATACAAGCGGGCCAATAAAGAACAACATTTTAGCATATGTTTTCATAAAACCATATAATAAGGGGCATTAAACTCACCATCCGGAGTTTCCGCAGTTCCTTCCTACCAATGCGTCCTCTCCATAGACATTGTAGGATAAGACTACCTTTCTTCACTTCTAAATAAGCTTTACGAGCTTTATATAATCGCCATTGTGTCTGCAATATGTAAAAAATAATTATTTTATAACCATTATACTTGTGAATTTCTTTCTCTTTTGCCTGTATCGAGGAAACTTACCTGAATGATAATGGCGGCATTCATTCTTCTCCTATGCCTGTATTCACTTCGTGCCGCCATTGCGCGCATGCCTGTTTGTATGACAATCGATGACGACCTCAGTTTAGTATAATCCATTTTCGCTGCATGACCTCTTGAGTACTTTTGTATTCGTATCGATGCATCCACTCTCCTCATATGTTCATACAGCTTTCTTGCTAACCATCCTGCAAGTATACTTACAACTTTATTCTTATCCACTCTCGCAAGATTCATTTTAATCGAGAAATGCAGTTGTGGAGAATGAGATGACCTCGCCATAGTTTTTGTATCTCGATTGTGGCATTCCTTAGAATGAGGAATTGCTTTCGGACTAGGTGGGTTCTAATCTGCCTTTGTAGAAGTCTTGCAGCATTCGCCAAGACTTCTAATCTCCGGGCATCGAGCTCCGCCATCTGACCGGCTCGTAGGAATACCTTGTTCTTCCCTATCTGATAAAAGAGAATAATATCAAAACCAAGTCTTTTTTTTGCAAAAGAATTTGTCCTGCAAATTTATATAAATCCTCTTTTTCTTAGTGTGCATCTACCTGATAGCCTTTCAAGCCCATTCTATCACAAATAGCCGCACATGCCTGCTTCTCATCAGAGCTGTCACCAATTGAAACAATGGAATTAGAGTAGAAGTGTCAATGTAGTCTCTTGATTATTTACATGGAGTCATTTTAATTCTAGAGTTCATAAAAGTGTCAAATTAATCTCCTACTCTTTAAATTGAGGCTGAAATAGTCCTCTATAGGGATTATTTTAGCTTATATTAAAAGAGTCTGCGGATTAAATGGACATATTTATAGACTCTAGGATTAAAATGACCTCTGCAAAGGGACGAGGATTATTTTAACAATTTTCTTAGTAGAACCATGACCGGATGTGGATTAGAAAAGGACAGGAGCATCAGATTGAAGGGGTACCCATCAAAGGTGATTTTAACTAGGTCAGAAACTTTTATTACCTATCAATGAGATCTGGTGCGAGCATTCCGAAACGATCGATGAACTCATCAAAAGCCCTCTTGGTTGGGTAACCAGCACAGCTTATTCTGATTGCCTCCAAGACACCCTAGAAAGTGGTATATTATCAAAGATATCAAAGGTTACTTTTTTAGTTCTTACATTTTGGTTCTAAAACATAGAATCCATAAATTAGAAGTTTTGCTCACCCCACATCTAAGTTGATTCAGAACATTGAAATTTTCAAATATGCCGGGCTTTAAGACCGTGTTGGGCTTCACACATCTGATGTAATGCGGCTCTGTGGTGCTAAGAGTCTCCATGAGTGATTGCAATTGTTGCTGTTACGGGTAATCATCATTAAAGATCTCTCTCTGGAGCTAACAATTCTTGTGTATCTACATATCTAACACTTAAACATTCATATTTACATGCATACCACTCACATTGCTAACATCACATCAAAAATACCATCATCACTATCTTTTTAAAAGTAAAATACACATTTTCATGAATAGGTTTACGATACCAAGGTGCTATAAGTGTAAGTATCCAACTTTTGTTGTTAGATATGTAAATACATAATAATTGTGTGCCATGTATGTAAATTTCCTTTTAATATACTGGTTACCTTAAAGCGAGTTCCAATAGAGGAGAACTTAGATTGTTTTGAACTTTCTTCTGGCAACGCAGGAATAAGGTTGGCAACAAAGGGACACGCTGAGTCATTCAACAGAGCCTGATGTTCAGCGACCACATAGTCTTTATTTTTATCCAGGAACAAATCTGCTTGGTAGATAACCTGTTAGGAGAAACAAGAGCTTCAACTTTTGAATATCTTCCTTCTTCATCACATAAATTATATTATGGCCACAGTTCATTTCTCAGCTTACATCTCCAGCATAATGGTTGATTGTGAATGCAGTTCTAGCGAGTTTAGGCTTACTGAAACGCTTATGTGCTTTGTAGGTCTGATACAACTTCTGAGCAAATGTCTCATGGGTTGATTTGGGAAACATACTGCAGAAATATATGATCGAGCGATTAGTAAAAAGCAGATACTAATAATAATTCTTTGATAATCAAGGGGCTGTCTGCAAATAGATATAATTGGGATTTAACTCAAATCAATGATACTACAACAACAAAACCTTCATCCCACTAAGTGGGCTTGGCTACATAAATCCTTTTTCTCCATTGTGTCGTATTTACTGTCATATTTTCATTTAATTATAATAAATTAAGATCATTTTTTATACAATATGCCCAAGTTTTCCTAAGTCTACCTTTGTCTTTCTTAACATAAGTCGAATCTAAAACATCTACTCTTCTATTCGGATCATCAGAAGGTCGACGTTTAATATAACCAAAGCATCTAAACGAGTATAGCTTGAGCGAGCTCAGGCTTGGCTCGTGTTCGGCTCGTTCGAAATAGCTCCTGTTCGAAATCGGCTCGTGAATAGTGTGTTCGTGTTCGGCTCAAAATTGGCTCGTTAAACTTAAATTGAGAAAAATAGATGTAAAGTGTGAGATTCGAACCTGGATCAAATATATACAAAAGAATACACTAACCACATTGCCACATGGGGTGTTATGATTTAAACTTAGACATAAATATATATAATATATTATTATATAAATAATTAAAACGAGCCGAACACGAGCGAACAAAGAGTTGTTCGTGTTCGGCTCGTTTATAATTCTAGCTTTTAAAATTTATTCGTGTTCATCTCGTTATATTATTATATAAATAATTATATAATTTTTTTATTTCTAGCTAAAACGAGTCGAACACGAGCGAACAAAGAGAAAAAGTTGTTTATGTTCGGCTCATTCATAATTCAAGCTTTAAAAATTTATTCGTGTTCGGCTCGTTTACTTAACGAACGAGCCGAACACGAGCTGTTCGCGAACAACGAGCTTTTTTTACAGCCCCCCCCCCTACATCTAAGACAACTCTCCCTAATTTTTTCTGTCACTGGAACTACACATACCCTATCACGGATATATCCATTTCACATTTTTTCTGTGTAAAGCTACTCATCCACCTAGTCATTCTCATCTCGACAACACTTAACTTAGTTTCATGCTTCTCTTTTAAAGGTCAACATTCAGTCAACATTCAGCGCCATCAACATTCAGCGCCATAGAGTATTCTAGGGAGTACCACCATCTTATAAAATTTTCCTTTCAGTCTAAGCGGTACTTTTTAATCAAAGAATAGGTTCGAAGCATTCCTCCACTTCAACCAACCAACTTGAATTCTTTTAATAACATCCCCATCAATATCACCATCACTTTGAACAATAGAACTGAGATATCTAAAGCGTTCACACCTTTTAAAAATTTAATTACCCATAGTTACATTTCTGTCACTAAAGCTACCACTACTAAAATTACATTCCATGTATTCAGTTTTAGTTCTACTCAAACGAAGGCCTTTAGACTTCAAGGTGGACCTCCATTATTCAAGATTTTCTTGAGTTTTTTCTCTCGTCTTATCCACGAGAAGGATATCATCAGCAAAAAACATACACCACAATACATCCTCCTGTAAGTGACTAGTAAGACCATCCATAACTAAAGCAAAAAGATATGGGCTTAAAGCCGATACCTGATGTAAACCAACAGAAACAAAAAAATATTTGATCAAACCTCCTTCTGTACGAACACAAGTAACAATTCTTGTATACATATCTTTAATGACTTTAATATAAGTCAAATATAAGTCATAATACATTTTTTCTCTAGAACTCTATAAAGGATTTTGCTTAGGTCCTTATCGTAAGTTTTTTCTAAGTCAATAAAAATTATATATAAAGTCTCCTTATTTTCTCTGCAATTCTCCATCAAACCTCTCAATAATTGTATAGCTTCTATAGTAGACCGCCTGACATAAATCCAAATTGATTTTGACAAATCTTTATAACACGTCTTCACCTATCTTTAATGACCCTCTCCCATAATTTTAAAGTATGGCACATCAACTTAATTCCTCTATAATTTGCACACTCTTGTGCATCCCCTTTATTCTTAAAAATTGGGACCTAAATAATCTTCCTCCACTCCTTAGACATCTTTTTAGTTTTAAAATAATATTAAAGAGTTTGGTAAGTCAAAAAACTCCCAGATCTCCTAAATATTTTCACACTTCAATTGGGATATCATCAGATTCTACAGACTTTCTTGGTTTTCTTTAAAGCCTCCTCAACTTTGGACTGTAAAAATGAAACATATTATTATTATTAACGATATTAAGATCACTAAGGTAGATCGTATTTTGATAAACTTCATTAAAAAGTTTATCAAAATAACTCACTCACCTTTTTTAAATATCTTTTTCTAAGAAAATCACTTTTTGATTTTCATCTTTAATACACTTTACTTGAGTTAAATCTTTACTTTTCTTTTCTATTTGTTTGACTAGTTTATATTTTTCACCCTTCTTAGTATCTAATCTATTATAAAAATCACTAAAAGCAAAATTTTTAGCGTCATAGATTGTTTTCTTAGACTCCCTATGGACTGTTTGGTATTTTTCCCGGTTCTTCAAGCTTTACATTTAAACTAATTTTTATAACATAACTTCTTATATTTTATCTTTTATTTCACATTATTATTTCACATTATTATTCCACCACCAATTATTCCACCACCAATTATTTTTATTTATAAATTTTTTTTCTTTCGATTCTCCAAGTACAACTTTTACCATTTGTTTAATAGATTTTGTTACTTTATCCCACATAGAATTTTCTTCTTCATGAACATTTAAATTTTTGAATTTTATTCGTAATAATAATTTTTTTGTCTTTTAGGCACTGACATCTAATTCTACGACGATAATTCCTAGTATTCTTTAATTTACAACTCTTCATCTTAAAATCTAAAACTAATAATCGATATTGAGTACTTAAATCCTCACTTTAAATAACCTTACAATCTTTACATTCTCGACCATCTCTTTTTATTTTAAGAAAATAATCAATTTGTGTTTTATTAGATCCATTCTTATAAGTAATAATATGCTCATCTCTTTTGTTGAATAAAATATTAGCAATAATAAAATCATACCTAAAGCAAAATTCAATATAGCTTAACCTTTTTCATTAATCACTCTAAAACCGTAGCCGCCATGAATATTTCTAAAATCTTCTACCATTCTACCGGTATGTCCATTTAAATCTTCTCTAATAAAAATTCTTTCTTCAAAAAGTATCATTGTCCATTTAAATTTTCTCCAATAAAAATTTTTTCTTCAAAAAATATCATTTGTATTAAGTTTTCTAAGTTATTCCAGAATTTATCTTGAGAACCTATATCTAAACATACTTGAGTAGCATAAGCACTTATAATATTAAAAATCTTAGTATCAACAATAATTTTAAGGGCTATAATTCTATCTTCAACTCTATTTTTTATAACATTATCTTTCAAACTATTATTTATAATTACACCTACACAATTTCTAGTGTGACTCTTACCGGAATACCAAAGTTTAAAACCTAAATTATCAATCTCTTTAGCATTTTCTCCAACCCATTTAGTTTCTTGAACACATAAGGCCCTTTCTCCAACTCATTTAGTTTCATGAACACATAAGATATTTATTTTTCTGTGAATCATAATATCAACTCATTCCATTAATTTGTCAGTGAGAGTGTCTATACTCCAAGATCCTATTCTAATATTAGTTTTATGGACTAACTCAAATTTATGATACAAAAAAAATCAAATTTTAAATATTGGATTTGTTAATATTTGTATCTTATTTTGAGGGGCCTAATTGTAAATAGGAAATATATAACACGTCTAGGGGTTATTTGTAAAATATTTGTATCGTTCTATAGAAGCCCAACTCGTGAATGAAGGAGTTGAGATTTTTACCAAAATAATCATTTCCTTATGATTTAGTAAATCTAGTTTCTCCTCAATTCCTCTTAGTTTTTTCTTAAATCCGGTATTTAGTAAATCCTGGTGTTGGCCTGATTTAGTAAATATGGATTTAGAGGATTTACTAAAGCTCCTACTAAACAACCCCCTAGTGTGTTATTGTCATGAAAATGAGAAAATCTACCTAGTTAGTTTGCAAAGAATATTTAAGAATAATACATAACTATCTTTAGTGTTGGTGAGAATAGATATGTTTAATATGTTTTAAGAGGGGCAAGCTTTTGTTATTTTGATAGAGTACGCACCATGCTTCATCAAGAAGTGCAATTATTCCTCCTGGTTTCTGCGTGAAGCCATATAGATCATTAGGTGCCACAGCAATATTTTATTGTATTGTTAGAAAATGTTTATTATTTGATTGAGAAAAACCTCCATATTTTGCAATTTGGTACCTTTTCTATTAGATCTAACACATCTTGGTTATCAACAAACTCCACATAGCTCCAGTTGATCTCTTCCCTTGTGTATTCTTCTTGCTCCATCTTGAATACATGCTGTAACATACATTATTCCACTTTAAACTCCATTCTTATTTCATAACTAGAAGAATGAAGGCTCTCAAGCTACATACTTGATTGAAATGCTGTTGTAGCTTCTCATTCGTCAGATTAATGCATAGTTGCTCAAAACTGAAGATGAGTAATAAATAAATTTATAGATGTTTCAATACAATTTCTGGATAGCATGTTTGTTTGGAAACAATAGATGTAGAAATTCAACTACCTGTTAATCTTGAAGCTCTCAAATCCATATATATCAAGAACACCAATTATGCTTTTTGCATTAGGATCCTGACCAATTGAAATATTGATTTTGTCTACTATCCTGCCATAAAAAAATTGAAGGCTAAAGAAACGATTTTAAATATAAATTGATCATCTTGGTCATATGTCAGTATTGTAATTTGGATAATGCTTACCAGTCAAATAATCTTGAGTACACTGTCTTTGCCAAAGCATCGCGGCTCAGGGCTGCGGAGTCTGGGTCGAGAGGTTTTGTTATGTTACCATCTGGTGTAACTATCACACGTTTGCACAAAGATTCCTCAAGTGCTTTCTCATTGCACCTGATACAATCATCAGAATTCACATTTCATAATGAATTCTCATAAAACAATACATAAATTTTAAATAAATGTAAATAATATCTTACAAAAGTAGCTCTGCAGCTGTTTTTAGGTGGTTTTTAGACTTCTCATCCTTCAACCTTGAAGAATCAATCTCCTTTCCTTTCTCAAACTCAATATTTCCTAGGTGAAGAATTGCGGCTACCACACGAAAAATTGCATCCTGTAGGATAAAATTGATCATATTTACTTTGATAATAGACATTATTGTAATTTAGAATTTACGATATCAAATTTGTCAACTTGACCTGCTCTTCCTGGTTAATTCCCACCACATCCATGGCATGCCTGGTCAGCAGATATTCCCTTGCATCATCTACATTCGCTACTTCGTAACAGTTCGATTGGTTCAGATAACGAAAATTTTGCGGATTTCCAACTTTGAACTTTTTCACATCCTGAAGTCATCTTTTAAAATGAGATTTCAGTTCTAGTAAACCAGCTTCACATGAAAATTTTGAAGAAGAGTTACCTCTGGTGGAGCTGCACAGAGCATGTAGAAGCAGTGGTAGTTCCTTTCAGGATCTGAAACCTGACAAACCCTAGATCGTTCGAGCAGATACGTGCGAACCGCTGCACCAGATATCTTCCCATATTTGTCGAATTGTATCTCGACAAACTTACCAAAACGACTGGAAACATTTTGTTTGATCAATTAAGTTTTATCTTGTTATAATGCCAAGATTTAATAGATTCCTTACCTAGAATTGTTATTTTTCACTGTTTTGGAATTCCCAAATGCTTCCAGTACAGGATTAGACTGTATTACATAAAATAGATTCATCATGCAATTTGACAAATTTACTAGTCTTTGTAAGAAATATGCTGCTTTACCTCTAAGACTTGCTGTTCTACAGTTCTTCCTTCTGTCCTTGACCTCCCACCCATGAAGGCCAAATATCTCATCAGCATTTTAGTTGTCTCTGTCTTTCCCGCTCCACTCTCTCCACTGACAAGAATGGACTGGCTTCCATGTTCATTTATCATTGCCCTTGTGTGGAAAATACTCAAACAGGTTAATAACACTCCTTTGTATTACATACATACCGCCTAATTCTTATGTCTTTACATATCTAACAACTAAATTTACTTCCTCAACATTTATACCATCCAAATCTCTTACATCACATAAAAAATACCACCATTTTAACTTTAAAAAAAAAATGTGAAATACACCTTTTCATACATTGGTAAGATGGAGTGTATGTAAAAATTTTTGTTTAGGTGTTAGATATGTAAAACGATATGAATTGAGTGGTATGAATGTAAATTTTCCTATATTTTAGTGAGTTTATGTTAATTTACCTATAACAAGCATCTGCAACTGCGAAAAGATGCGGACTCAGTTCACCAAAAGCCGCGCCTTTGTACTGTTCCATCATATGAACATCATAAAGATGAGGAAGCCTTCGAAATGGATTCACAGCGATCAATATATTTCCTGTGTATGTCTGTTTGATTCAGAACTCAAAAAAGTCAGGATTTTCGTTCGATTTCTTCTTGACATGAATGGATATTTAATGCCTTACGTATATCTCATTCAGAGCGAAGCGACAAGCGAGATTATGCAGAACTCCCGGTTCATGGAGGTAAGCTAATTTGGTCATGTCGTCAACCCCAGCGGGAGGTGCTTCTGTATCTTTTGGGTAGATATGTGAAAGATTTGCGACGATCTGCAAGGAATTCAGTGAACTTAATGAGGCGCAATTTATGTCGACAGGTTTTTAAGGTGATCAGGAGGATTTGGATGAAATTATCAATGATTTTTAAATTTTTAACCGGAGAGTTTATTTTTCAAATTGATCTTTGCAAATGTTTTCCGGATGAGAATTTCAGATAGAGTTCTTGCTTGTTAAGGGAGAGAAAATTGGATTAAAAAAACAGAGTAGCTGATAAATCAAACTGGACCAAAATCTGGATCTGTTGGCATATAAATGGCAAAAACTATAAATTCATGCAGATTTGAATCTCGAGCAGAAACAATCACATGATAGTTAACAAAATCAAATAGTATAAACATATGGAAGTTGCTGACATCAAACGAAAAAAACTTCGAATCCATGCCTGCTTGAATCTGAAACAGCGAAAATCCGATATGAAATTGGAATTCTATATGAAACTAAACTAGCTTTCGCTTGGGGGGGAATCTGAACTCTTCTCCTCGCCGAGAAGAACGAAAAATAGATAGATTCAAAACAGAATAGCAAATAACATAGGTAGTGAAATCCATAGTCTGCTCATCTCCCCACAGAAAAACAAATTGCTTAAACAAATAGCATTTAACTCCATGAATGAATCCAGCGAGCTCTCAACTTACTTTTCTTCCATCCCTCGTAACGATGGTGGCATCGCCGCCTTTGATCTCTGTAACCTCTCCATCGATCCATGCGAGCTCTGCGTCCTCCGTCCACACGTGAGAACCGACAACGATGTTCACCGGAGTTCCCTGTGTCAAAAAGACGATCAAAACAGTTACAGAGATGAGCTTGCTGGTAATGGATGACTCACCATCGATCAATTCAGCATCGCCGATCCAGAAATGAAGGGATCGATGCCCTAGTTTTGTTGGAGAAGGGAAAGGAGGGAGAGAGAAGAAAGGTGATGAGAATGACAACGGGAAGAGTTGGAAAGCGGAGGAAGAAGGTGATATAATGGGGGCCGACATTTTGAGCTGGACGGCGGCGGGGCCCGCTGAGCCGCCAGACTGCGGCGGCGCCGGCGGCCGGCGGCTCCGTTAGATGAGATTTGATTCGTAGTGGAGAACCACTTTGCCGAGTGTGCTCGAGGAAAATTTGATGGGCGGTGACGGATATGATGTGGTGTTGGTGATTGTGGGGTCCACTGAGAGGGAAGTAGTTTAATTGGTGAATTTTTGTGTTTGGAGTTATGGGTTTATTACAGGATCATGTAGTAAGGTTGGATTGGCTTAAATAAATGAATAAAATGGAATAGCATGTAGTAAGGTTGGATTGGCTTAAATAGCATGTAGTAAGGTTGGATTGGCTTAAATAAATGAATAAAATGGAATAAGAATAACCAATACAAGGTTGTGAAAACGCTCATTTTTTGTTCGGCTCTTTTAGAATCTTGTATTTAATTTATTTTTTAAGCAAATGAGTCGAACACGAATAATATTTTTGCTCTCGATATATAAATGAGCAGAACATAAACTCAGACCTCTTCTACAATGTCTGAGTTGTTTCATTGCTTCTCTGTTATTTTACCCATTAACATACGGGTAAATGTCGCTTCAGCAGTACATTGAGGAACCAAGAGATGATGGCCAGGTAACATCTTTAAGGCAACGGTCATGCTCTCTTTTAGAAGAGACCTCGGCTTGGACACCTTACACCCTGACGACCCGATCCCAATTCCCCAGGCGCTAGAATAAAAATTGGCCATAAACTTCTGCTTCCAATCTTTTATCTTATTCTCCACTCCTACTAAGTGAAGTTCCTTGCTCGTTGATAACATTGTGTAGCCCTCTATGTCGATCTTGAACGAGAAGAAGCATTTAAAGAGTTCAATCGATCATGTAAGATTCTCTCACTGATAGAAAAGAATAAGAGTCATGATTGTGTTTATGGAGTTTGGAATCACTTGCGCCGGAATAACCCCATATATTTTTAAGATGCTCCGAAACTCCTAACACAAGGGAAATTGATTCATACTGAATTGGTCTTAATAGATTACCAGGCTTTTCCTAAAGGACACGTCGCTCACGCCGATCTAGGCAAGTTCGAATGACCTATGCTCTTGTTAAGAACATACCTTCACTACAGCTCCCTCACTTTGTTCTCTGTAAGAAACGAAGGGTCAATGACCTTCATAGAGCCGGACAAGACATGCGAGTGTTTGAGGGTCATTTCAAGAGACAGGAGCAAAACTAGCTGAAGAACGAGAGGAGAAGAGAAAGCCAAAGAAAAAACGAAATATATAAAATCGCATCAAGTGAAAAGAAACGGCCCCTTCCCTTATTTATAAGGCGGGTGTGTCATATAAAACATCAAATTATGATAAGTATCACGCCAAACGTCTTTTTAGAAATTCATTAAAATATCATTTTAGTGAGAATGACATTATATAATGCCTCGAACGAAGTGTTTTATAAAGGAGTCCTCTAAGACCTCATAGGGGACATGTCCCCCTCAACTTCCAGAGAACCATCTCTCCACGTAACCTAATTTGATCCACCCTATCAGATTCCTGATTGAACTTGGCCAGATCAGACATCTCAGTGGTGCCTCTAGCTTGTGCAACACCTTATTTAGTCCACCTCAAAGAACGAGGAGCTCCGTCTGAAGAATCACTACTTTTTTATCCAGGCGAGCATACAGCTCCTGCACCGGATCTGAAGCTGAATCCTCGGCGAGCCCCTCAAAAGAGCTGTTTGGCCCTGCTAACGATCCAGTCTCACATGTCTGCTGCTCTACGATCTTGGGGGATTGCTCCCAACCCTATAGCCTCTCAACTGGAGATCTATCACTGATGATGGGTCGGGAAGCTGATGAATTATCAGGGCCGATGATGACGGGAGCCCCGCATCTCCAACCTGCATAAAGATCACGGTGGTAGGGGCAAACTTCGCGGTATTTTTTGACAACCCGCCATCCTAATGTTCATCCAACCTGGCTAATTCATTCATAAATCTCTCCATATAGGAGACAGTTCTAAAGGCCTCCTATCCCTTTGGCGTCGAGACGCCCCCGCTTTTCTCTGACAATGACTGTGAGAGC